TATATATACACACACACACACACACACACACACACACACACACACACACACATTGCTAGGGTGATTGCCATGCATACCATATTACACAACAGCACTGAATGCATTAAAACATTAAACCGCTTTGTTTAGGAGTGAAGGAGTTCATGAGTGTGTTGTGGTGTAAAAGCTGTCCCACACACACACACACACACACACACACACACACACACACACACACACACACACACACACACACACACACACACACACACACACACACACGATCATGCACACACACAGTACATTCGGGGAAACACAGTTGCTGTTTCTAGACTGGGCTGACAGATAGAGACACTGAGAGCGAGAGACTCTGAGAATGAGTGAGAGAGAGAGAGACACAGTGATGGAGAGCCAACAGTGATGCCTTCTCTCCATGAGTTGCACAACAGCGACCCAGATTTCATCAAGCTGTGGGCGGGAGTTTGAGGACGGCGGCCTCGCTCTGCTGCAGGAGAAGCGGATGCAGACGCTGTTAAAGAGGCTCTTTGTGTGAGGCGTCGGGGAGAATGAGGACAGCAGGTCAAAGGTCAGCCGAGCGGCGGCCAATCAGCGGCGGATCTCACACTTCAGGAGGATGTGATGTCATCGGGACATTCCTGAGTCATCTGACTGGAGATCCGTTCCGCTGTGTGTGTGTGTGTGTGTGTGTGTGTGTGTGTGTGTGTGTGTATGTATGTATGGTAGTGCATGTGTGTATATAGTAGTGTGTGTGTGTGCGTGTGTGTGAGTGTGTGTGTGTGCGTGCGTGCGTGCGTGTGTGTGTGTGTGTGTGTGTATGTGTGCTTGTTGTGGGCAGTGTTTGTATGTTTATAACCACCTTGGAGGATATTGGTGGTCTTGAGTCAGTGGCGTTGTCATTGTGGGGGTTGTGTCTGATAGTTTGGGAACTCTTTGCTTTAATGAATTGCCATGCGGTGTGTTTATAGTGATGTTTGCGTTGTGTGTTCTGGCTGTGTTTTCAGTCATCCTGACGGACGAGGAGGTGCAGAGGAAGAAGGATCTGATCATGAAGCGTAAAGAAGAAGAAGCGGCTCGAGAAGCTCGTAAACCTCGGCTGAGCGACGAGCAGATGCAGATCATCAACTCTCTGGTGGAGGCGCACCACAAAACATACGACGACTCGTACTCCGACTTCGTCAGATTCAGGGTCAGTCACGCAACACTACAGCTTATTAGCATCATTAATCTTTGCTTAGTAACATGTTAAAGCAGACTAGAGGAGCTTTGGGCTAGTGTTGCTCAGTCCGTCAGTATCGGTCAGCTGCTGATTAGTGCTAGCCCTAGTTTAGCATTAGCGTCACGTTTCCTCAGCGCTCTGAACATGTGGCTATTCCTGCTGTCGGCTGCTCTGATCTATTATTAATATCAGGTGTGTGTGTGTGTGTGTGTGTGTGTGTGTGTGTGTGTGTGTGTGTGTGTGTGTGTGTGTGTTCATGTTCAGCCTCCTGTGCGTGAGGGTCCAGTGACGCGC